CTGTCTGGCTGACAGCGCCGCGCGTGCTGCAAGGGAAATAAAACATGCGGAAAAATATATTAAACCAGCCATAAAAAGGGGATGTGCTGTAAAACGACCCGCTCGGGCCCACAGCTGCCAGCGGTTCATCTGCACAGCGATCCCAGCCTCAGGATAACGGAGAGGCCACGTGAGCAGGCAGCTCGCTGTCCCGCCTAGAGCCACCATCAGTTTACTGCCCCTTCCCATAGGGCAGGATTGGCGATAGGACCTGACTGCCTCCTTGAACAGCAAAGAAAGCGGTTGAAAAATACCTGGTCAGAAACGTATTTGCATACTCCACGGGCAGATCGCCGCCTCCTGCAGCGGAGCCGTTTCACTTTTCCTTCCCCGTCAAACGCTTCGTCGGCGTGCCTGGAGACGCCACACTGAGGGACCGTCACCGTAACCTCAGGGAGAAAAGAAATAATAAAGATAGATGTCTATCGGCCACGGGCCTTCATTCTGGCGCTGTTTACACGCACGCAGTCTAACTTATCGTTACAGCTGGCAGAGCCATTTTTCATGTAAGCACAACTGTAGACGCTTCCTTAAGGCCTTGCGGGGGCCGCGCGCCCCTCCTCTAGCCAGGTGCAGCGCTCACGCAGGCATCGCCTTCCCCACACCCGTGCCTCAGTGAAACGAGCAAATGAATTATTGCATTACTGCTCGGTATATTTCAGCAGTCCTTAAAATCCTCAGATGAAATGAGGCCAAGGTCACGGTCAGAAAGCATCGTCTCAGAAGAATCGCGCGACTTACCCGGACGAGGCTGGCGAAGAGCGGCACGATTACTGCCGCGCTCTCCCTTTTGCGGACGGGAAGCTCGAGTCCGGCTCCCCGTTGTTTCGGAGGAAAACATACAGAGTCCCCCGAGTGAGTTAGCGCCAGATGCTTCACCGCCACCAGGTCCACCCGCGGCCGGGGCAGCGCCGGGCCGGCCAGCAGCTCGGACCCAGCAGCTCCATAGGGGCGCTTACAGCCAAAACAGCCTTTTCAAACCGCCGATCCACATGCTGTTAGAAGCCCTTAGCCTAAAGCTGCCCAAGGTGACAGGCCTGTGTTAGCATGGTGGCCCCTGTCCCCAAGCCTTCCTTTCCGTCAGGGTATTTAGGCTGAAGAACAGGACTCGGAGGGGCAGCAGCAGCCCAGGGTGCACACCGAGAGGAGGGCAGCAGCCACCAGCCGCATGTTGTCCACGGCCGTGGTGTGAGGGGGCACTCACGGGCCCGAGCGGCAGCGACAGCGATTCGGGTTATAAATCAGGGAAGCCTGTCCAACAGCACCAAGCCAAATCTACTGCGGAGGGCTTACAGCCTCCCAAAGCAGCGTGTTTACAGCAGGCTCGACAGAGCTGTGCGTTGTCATGTAACACAGGGAGCTGGACTAGGTGACTTCTCCCTATTTTTTTGGTCTTAGGTTATTTTCTTCATATTTCATCAGAGAACAGGTTTATTCCCAGGTTGAGTCACCTACCACCAACCAAGCCCCAGACTCGCACGGGTGCCAAGCGGGTGCACGCCGGACAAGCAAGCAGAGAAGTTCGCTTCTGTCGGGCGAAGCGACTGCGCCTAGGCCAAAATAAGCACCCCGCGTCACCCGTTCACCCCCGGGCAAAACGAGTCGGGGGCCGCACGAGACCTCGCCGGTT